GGGGGCCGTCCGGGCCCCTAGGAAACCTAGCTGCTGCGGGGGGCGGGGGCGCTGACCTCTCTTCTCCAAGGCGAGGATCGATTGGGGCCGTCGCCAGGCAAGGTGGCTTGAGGAATCAGAGGGGCGCGGGCGGAGATCGAGGCTTGCAGGGAAACCCACGCTCGGAAGCGGGCGATCGGGGCTCCGGGGCCAAACGCGGGCGCGCACGGAGGTGCAATTGTTGCATTGTGCGCAGTGAGGCCAGGGGGGCAGAGAGGTGAACGCTGCGAGTCTTCTCGCGGTGCTGTGCGTGCTGGAGTCTGCGAACGTGCGTGGGGGACAGTGGGTGTGTGCACAGGGCGAGCGGTTCCCGCCGGGTTTGAGATGTCCTCCTAGTGACAGTGAGTTGTACCTGGCCGTTTCTGTGGGACCTAGGGGTTCCCAAGTGTGCTTGGCTGTTTCTGGAGGTGTGCCTGGGGCAAAGCGTGCACGCAGTACCCTGGGGCTGTGCGCCGGGATAGAGTGTGAGTTCTGGGATGCACGGAGGGTCAGCGAGTGGACAAGCTGGAGTGCAGATGCAGCCTGGGTTTATGAAGGTGCCCCGGACTGGTACACGTACTGATTTGCGGTGGCGACGGTGCCCGTGTCCGTCCAGCTGACTCGAGCCTTGCTCCCCTGACAGTTCGCCCCAGCAGTGGGCTTCGCGGGCCGAGATGCTCCTCCGGGACCTGGCGCTGAGCCCTGGCTGCCGCTGGCCCTCGCTGCTGCTGCACTGCGCTCTCCACCCGCTCTGGGGCTTCGTGCAGGTGAGCAGAGAAGCGGACTGCAGGGGGTCGGAGGCCTCCCGGGGAGGAAGGAGGTGTCACTTTACTGAGACCCTACAGGGACAGGGCCTGCGGAGAGTTTAGGAAGAGAAAAGCTTGTTGGGTCCTCCATGCTCTGGTCCTGTAAAGATGCGGAAGTCCAGAAAGAGGCCCTCTTCGGCCCAAGGCCTGCAGGACAGGGCAATAGCCTAGAAAAGATCATCATCTTAGGGATCATCCTCTGTTGGTAACACGTTATTGGAGAAATTTGGGGTCCAAGAAAACAAACTTAAGAAAGATGATCCCAAGGATATGCATTCTTTATTTCTCACCAGATCCCACTGCTAAACTTCAAATTAACTAAGCCGCTTTTCAACACAGGAGGGGGCCACGTTTCCTGCAGGTGGTGAAGCTGGGATGTGGACAGATAATGCTCATGGCCACTTGTGCAGAGTATAAGAAGGACCCATCTATTGATCAGCACTGCCTAGGGAAGAATTCCTCACTCTAGGTCCCCAGAGGCAGAGGCCAGGAAGCTACCAGCTGATGTTACCTCCTAGGGCCAGAGCGAGGGTTAGAGGGGATGCTCCCTAGTACTTTACAGCAGAAACATAGTCCGTGGTTCAGAAGAGAAACAATAGGTAGATGCTGGTGTCAGCTCTGAATTTTGAGCTCTGCCCTTTACTAGCTGGACAATTTGGGCAACCCACTTAACCTCTCTGAGACTTGGTTTCTCCTTCTCAACTGTGCCAGCATAAGTTCTTGATGAGACCAAGAAAGTATGGATGACTTCAGTGCTGTACCTGGCCTATGATAAACACTATTGGTAGTTATTTCTGCTATTCGATGACTAATAGTAACAGCGCTCTCCCATCTGGCCTGTGGGGTCTCCCGTCGATCACCACTGCCTAACATCTCTGAATTATGAGAAGTGTTTGGGGAATTGAAGGACTGTCTTTCGGGTAGATGCAGATTCACTTTCTTTTGGCACCGTGGGGTTCAGGGACTATTCAGATGGTGACAGAGCAAAGAAAGGATGGGGTGAGACTGCTTTCCAGTCTGCTGTGGTCTGAGAGCTGCCCTAAATGTCAGGGCCTTGCTGGGAACCGGCTTGGTCAGTCTCACTTGGATGGTGACCTGGGTGACTCCTATGGAGGACTGGGGCTCTGAGCCGGACAGCTCCTCCAGCACCAGGCCCCCTTTTCTCCTTTCCTCTTTCTCACAATTGTTTTGCTTTCCGAACTGACAGCCTTGTCTAATGTGAGAAACAGCACTTATTACACTCAGCCGTGTGTCCTCAGGATTGTATCACTTCTCAATACTTTGGTGGTTTGGCACACATTTCCCCCATTCATTTTCGAGCTGAAGTGCAGATGTAAAACTCGTTTAATTTTTATATTTGTTTGTTTGCAGTTTTTCTCTCTTCCTTAATACTTTTTCAGTTAGCATGAAAGGAGGGTAAGGTGATGATATGTTTGTCTTAAGACTAGAATTCCACAGTTTGAATTACTACAATCTAATAGAAGACCCTACTGCCACCTGCCTCATGCCTCCCAAAGAAATAATTTTGTAAAAGTGGCACAGTTTTTAAGTGTCCTTAAGCCAGGCAGTACTTACACAAGTGTGTGTATGTATGTGTCTGTGTACGTGTACTCTTACTCAATACAAATCATTTTACATGAAAATCAATTGGAAAAGGAATCTGCCAGATAAATAGAATGGGTCAAATCTTGGCTTGAGGCTCCAGGAAAATTAATTTACAAAAGATAGGGTCAGAGAAACTATGGTTAAGGTGTTTTGGAATGAATGGATCTGGTTTTTAAGCAAAGGAGCTGAATCCAGGGGATGTAGGAGGGAAGAGAAAAAAGGAAGTACACGAGGCCATGCATTTCTCTTTGTGTGGTTAGAATGAAATCTGTCATATCACAGGAGTTTCTCAAATATACAGAGACGCCCAGAACTATCTGTGCTTCTGTGAGCATTTTGCCAGAAGACTCCTCTAGCAGTAAACATTTAGGGGGATAGGGCCACTGTGACAAAGTCTTACGACTCACGGGGTCATTGATGAGGCAAGAGACCTGGGGTCCCCAGAGCACCAGGTTCCTCCCTTGAAATCAGTCGAAAGCCTCTACCTGCTGCTGGATGATAAGGCACCTGGTCATAAAAGTCAGATGATATTTAAATTGCCAGGAGGGCTGGTGGGAGCATTCCGTAGCCTGTCCCCTTTTTACTTTAATGTATTTGGAATTGAGATTTCGCGCTTTTTGTAATTTAGGGTTAAGTTCACTTCAGTTGATCCTTTTTTTTTTTGCAAGGGAAGAGGATGACAGGCTGGCGAATTTATTAGGTGTGACAGGAGTGTGTCTCATCAAGTTACTGGTGCTAACCTATCTCCACAGAAGATGCCAGAAGCCATCGTCTTTGTGGTCTCCCATCTGAAGCAATTGCCAGGGAGACAGGCTCAGGTCTGGCCTGATGGGTCTCTGCATCCGACGAGCAGCTACCCAGCCCCAAGTGAGGCTGTAGCCTTCCTTTTCAGTCACTACCACCTTGATTATTTACTCAGCATTTGTTGGGCACCCACTTTTTCTCAGGCTCTGTGTTAAGTGCAAGAGTCTTAGCGGCCCCTGCTCTCATGGCATCGATCCTCTGGCCCCAGGGAGGTCGTTAAACAAGAGATTACAGGCAAGAGAGCTCAGTAAGAACAAATGGCATGGGCCTGGCGTGGGAGTCAGAGGCCTCAGCAGAGACACGAAGTTTGAGGAGTCAGGATGCAAATGGGGGTGAAGCCTCCAGTGAGAAGCCTGAGGCCAGTGGAGAGAATGGGGCATTGGAGGGGCCAGGGGAGAGAAGCAGGCAGGGCCCCTGTTTTAGCCCCTAACACAGTGTCTCATGGGCTGGACCTGATCCTGAGGCCCATGGTGACTGTGGAGGGTGTGAAGGAAGAGGGGACATCATCTCAGACAAGCACTTTAGAAATCTCAGCCCTGCTCAAACACAAAAGTCACATTCGAGGAGGGGGCAGAAAAGGGACAAAGAACTCAATGATGGTAGGCTGGCCAGAGTTAGCAAATAAAAATATAGGACATCCAGTTAACCTGGAATTCCAAATAAGCCATTGGTTATTTTTTTAGCATGAGTGTATCCTATAGAATGTTGGGGACATACTTATACTACAAAGTCATCTGTTGTTTATCTGAAATTCACATTTAACAGGATATCCTAAGTTTGATCTGGGAACCCTAGGTGAGAGGCAAGTGCTACCCAGTGCAGATCTGATGGAGCCCTGGTGTAGGAGAGCAGCACAGGGAACTGAGCAAGTGGATGAATTCAAACCCATTTGGGAGGTGGCATCCACTGGCTCTGAAAGCTCTACCGATTCACCAGGCATGGGGTGGTGGTTGGGGAACGGGGTGCTGGCTCTGGGAGCTGGTAGCCATAAAGCACTGTAACTCCAAGACCATAGTGACAAGTACCAAACCCAGGTGGCTCCAGGACCTACCTGTGTCTCCAGGCCCTCTCTGCAGCCACAGCAATGGTAGCACCTAGGCCCCAAGAAAAGGCCACAGCCCAGAGTAGGCAGGCAGGTGATGGCAAAGCTAGAACAGGAAGTGGTAATGCCAGCTTTTGTTCCATGGGGTTTCAGCAAGTCACTGATTTCATGGGCCTCAATCTTTCTTAATCAAGTCCAGCTAAGAGCAGGTGACTTCAGAGGCAAGTTTCTTCTCCTTGCAGGACTTCCCAAGATGGAAACCAAATGAAGATAGGGCCCGAGACAAGCTCCCAATCCATGAGGGCTCCTCTCTACTGGTCTGAATTCACCACTACCTACCAGCAGAATCCCAAAGTAGAATGAGAGTTGGAGAAAGGGGCAGACCCCATGCTCCTCCCTGCCAGGTAGATCACTCCCCAACATACCTTTTCACTGAGCACCAACTACCCGGCCTTGGGCAACTTTATTGCCTGGCTGACCCCTCATCCCAGTCACGTGTGGCCAATAAGCTTCCTCTCTTGGTTGTCCTCATGGAGAAATGAGGGTATGTTCCTGAGGCTGACACCCACTAGGACTCAACAGGTTACTTGTTTGCCACAGATGGTGGGCAGGCCTAATTCGGGGGTCATGGGGTTCAGGATGGCCTTCCCTGGATGATTGGGCAAGAGCTTGGTTTTGAAAGAGAGAAACCAGTAGGTAAATGGAAACTCAGCAGTCTTGAGCTGGGCCAATTAGGAAACTCCAGTGAGACCCAAGCAAACGAAGAAAGGACAACCAGCCCAGGCTGCGTCCTTCTGAGAGGGTGGTTAGGTAAATGGATGCCCCCAACCCCATCACAGGGGGCTTCCTAGGAGAGACAGGACCCAAAGATTTTAAAAACAGTGTCCTCCTTCCTTCTCCTCCTTCAGCCTTGAGACTTGGCCCCGATTTTTCTTCCTGTCTTGTCATCACATTAAACACTCCTCTCCATCTGTGTCCCTATATCCTCTCCCAAAAATAGGACATTGTGTTGGACCAGGTTAAACAAACGTGCTCCTCTTGATCTCACTCATGTCAGTTGCACCTCAGAGACTGGGGAAAGTAATTGCTTTGGCCCTGGCCTGGCCTGAAGTTCACGCCCTTGGTGGGGTGCAGTGGGGAGCAGCCTCAGCAGATAGCTGCTGGTAGCACAGAGCTTTCCAGCAACCCTGAGACGGAGAAGGTGGCAGTCCAGAGGACACCGGCCTGATGTGGGGAGTGCTGGTGATTACACAGGGGCAGAGCTGATGGATTTAGCCCTGATGTGTAAGGAGTTAATCATCTTAAAATAATGAAGAAAAGGCTCACCATCTGGAGATACACTCTTCTCTGCAGGAGATAAGACTGCCTTCCAGGGGCTGAAACGCAGTCAGTGGTCCTTGGAAAACACTACAGAGTTGTGAGTGGGAGCCTGTTGGCCTCTTAGGTACTAAGTTTGAGCTGCAAATCAGTCTACCTCCCACTGCCACCCCAGTGGACATCACCCAGTCTCTTCACCTTAGCCACATGGTGCCTCAGCCCCAGCCCTGCCACCCCGGAGCAAAGGGGCTCCCAGTATCACTCTGCAGAGGCAGGCTGAACACGGTTGTGGTGACTTTAGGGTCCTGAGTCTCTCCTCTGTCAGAGATGACAGCCAGGAAATTGACCCGGCCCATCACTGAGGTGGGAGCGACCATCAGTTCTTCTCTCCATGCCTTTAAATCAGCTTGTTTCCTGGGACAGGCGCAAACTGTGGCCTTGTGGCCTTGCAGCCATCTGCATAGGCAGGGATGAGGGCAGTCAGTCTAACTAACCAGTGGGTCTCACACTGGCTCTTCCCACTTCTCACCTGGAGGCTGAAGCAGAACGCAGAGGCCCAGCTCCACCTGAACATTTCCATGGACTCACTGTGGCTAAGGCTCAGGCGACCGAGAAGCCCCGGTTGAGCCCAGCCCACACCTGCTACACTTCCTGGCTGACAGATGAGGAGACCCAGATCAGTGCTGGCAAACACCAGGCCAGGGAGCCTGAGGTGTGGATTTGACTCCAGTTGTTGATATCTCTTCACCAAATGTTTGAATGCCAGGTGTCCTATACGCGCTGGTTTGTTTTTTGTTTTTTGTTTTGGTACCGGGATTGAACTCGGGTCCTTGCGCTTGCAAGGCAGGCCACTGAACCGCTGAGCTAAATCCCTGGCCCAATCCCTGGCCCGCTGGTTTGTAATCAATAGTGAGAAGGAAACCGGCACTTCGCCCTTCCCTCATAGAGCTTGCAGCTGCTTGGCAAAGGCAGGTCAGATAGATGCAGGTAGTCACCAACACAGAATGAGGGAGCCTAAAAGAGGGGGATCTGGCCTGGAAGGGATGAGAATGCTCCCCAGGTGAGCTGAGTAGTAGCACAAAAAGGTGGTAAGGGTGGGAGAACTTTCCAGGCCCTGGAACAGCATGTGCAAAGGCCAGGCACAGAAAGGAGAAAATGAGGGTGGAGCAGAGGGCGCAAGAGCACAGGATGAAGCAGGGCAGAGAGATTGCCGAGGTCACTCTGTGCAGGACTGTGGGCCATGGAGAGGTTTGGGGGGTGCGTTTCCCACAAGGCCACTCGGACACTGTACAGACAGCACCGGCAGGTGGCTCTGCCCCTTGGTCATGTGAGACAGGCAGATAGAGAGGTCTGGCTGGGTAAGGCTGCCCGAGGTGGGAGGACCTTGCCCCCCGAGTGGTCACAGAAAGGCTGTAGGAGCTAGGACTGAAGAGAAGCCCAAGGTTTGGCCCTGTGCTTTTGCAAGGAAGATGGGAGATGGCTGGGCTTAGAGTACTACAGAGTTCAAATGAACATGCAGTCAGCATCCAGGTGTGACACCCCGGTGATCCAGGAGCATTGCTTTTGCCCCGGCTTCAGTTTCCTCATTTGCACCATGGAAAAATTCTGCAGATTAATGTGCAGGAGCCTTTATTAATATCCAGGTGACCCGTGCAGAGTCCCAAAGCCACTCCCTGGCAGAACTCAGAATAAAACCTTGGTTCTCACATCCAAGCTGCCAGCTTCCTGTGACATCATTCCCTTTGACTTGTCTATCCTGCCTGCCTTGATCTTGGGGAAGAATTCCAAGTTCCAGCCTGGCTGGAGGTCTGGGGTGGGCCCATTTCACCTTCCAGTTGCCTCGCTTTCTTCTGCATCTCTTGGGTGTGCTCATGCCTGCAGGTAACGAACGGAGAGCCCCAGAAGTCCTGCTCCAAGGTGGCCGACAGCTGCCAACACATCTGCCAGTGCCGGCCCCCGCCCCCACTGCCTCCGCCACCCCCACCTCCACCACCTCCCAGACTCCTCTCTGCCCCAGGTAGGTAAAACCTCACTCTTCTTTTGGTGGGGAGGTGACTCTGTCTTCCTGGGCCCAGGAAGATCCAGTGAGCGAGGCCGAGGACAGCCCTGCCTCCTTTGTAATTTTCCACTGGCCAAGCGGGAGGGAAGCCAAGGCCCAACTTTTCCCTGCAGTCTGCAAAACGCCTTTCGCACAGCACGCTCCTGCGAGATGGAGGAGGATGTTTCTCCATCGGTTAATTGGATAAAAGTCAATCTTCGTTTGATGAGTGACCCAGCCTGGATTGTTCCGAAGGCCAGACCTTTAAAGGGGGCAGCCACTGGGTACTGTCTTAAACACCCCACCCCCATACATGGTTTTATTTTTCAATTTTAATTCATGTCTAAGGAAGCAGTTTGTACCGAACCAAAGGCCGGGCTCTAAGAGCCAAGTTACACGAGTGCCTTTCGGCCACTTGCACCCAGTTCTGCTCAGACCTCTTTTGACTTGTGTCTTCTCTGGATGATGGCATCTCTGAACAATCTGATTGCCCGGTCATTCAAACAAAGGAGCGTTTCTTTAGCCACAAATGGCCTCAGCCCTGACCTCCGCTGGTGAGGTCTTCTGCTTACAATTGCTGCTTGATAAGGTCTCTGAAAGGAGATTCTGTGTTTTAGATGGATCGCTTAGGTCTTGAATGGTAGAACGCCCATGATCATGTCCCGATCTATTTCATTAGCCATGTCTTCATTAAATTATTTGGGGAGTATTTAAAATAACCATGGTAAGGCTTATTCTCAGCAAGGCTATGCTTCCAGGCTCTCTCTCTCTCTCTCTCTCTCTCTCTCTCTCTCTCTGCATCTCTCTCTCCAGTACCAGGTATTGTACCCAGGGCCTTTGCACCGAGCTACACCCCAAGCTCTTTTTAAATTTATCGTATTTTATTTTTTTTGCCAGAAGATCTTACCAAACTGCTAAATTGCCCAGGCTAGGCTCAGACGTGCTGCCATCCTTCTGCCTCAGCCTCTGTGAGTGCTGGGATTACAGGCCTTTGTTTCCAGCCTCTTGGTATCCAGTCAGCAACATAGCATTCTGAGATACCTTTGCAGTTTGCGTGAATTTCCACATTTTACCTGCTGGGCCCCTACCTATATCCATCCTTACCTGGCATCCTGTGCCCCTGTGCTTCTCAAAGTGTGGTCCTCAAATGCCCTGCTTCAGCATTGCCTGAAGCACTGGCTTTAAACGACAGCTTCCCTGGCCCAGGTCAAGTCCTCTGAGTCAGATTCTGTGAGGTGGGGCTTAAGATGATTCTAAGCTTTGAGGTGGTTCAAATGCAGGTCCAGGTTGAGAACTGAGATACCAGGCCCTTGCTCCTCTGGGCATCCACCAGATCCTTCTATCCTTCTATCCCAGGGTGCTCTCCATGCTGCGGGACCCAGCTCCAGCACGTGCTCCTGGATATCACTCCCTTCTCTCCTAATAACTGCTTCTCTTCCCACTCTCTGGGTTCCAGGCACTTGTACCTGACAGACCCACATCTCCTAGCCAGTTCCCTTCAGTTCCTCTTGGGCTGACTGAGCATCTGGACCAGACACAAGGGTGAAGGACCATTCCTGTCTTCTAGGAATGATCTCTCAGCTCCACAGAGAGGGCTTTCTTCTCAGCAGCCTAGAAAAGGTGAACTGGGGGAGCATAGAAATCGTTTGTAGGGACACTGGAAATATCCAAGGAGTTAGGCACAGGGACAGCCCCAGTAAGCAGTAGCACTGTCTTGAATCTTTAAGTATAAATGAGATTATTGCAGGTTGATAAGGAGGTGGTGGGGAAAGGGCCTCTAGGCAGAAGGGACAGAGTGGATGAAGTCTGGATTCCGTAAGACCCATCTTGGGGGAGTCACAGGTCTTTCAGTTCATTTGTCTTCATCCATTTTCTGTTGTTATAAAAGAATACCTGAGGCTGGCTGGGCTCTTTACAAAGGAAAAAGGTTTACTTTGACTCACAGTTCAGGAGGCTAGAAAGTACTTGACTGAGCAGTGGTATCAGGAAAGGGCCTCTTGCTGTATTGTGACCTGGCAGAAAAAGGGAGAAGGTCAGGCAGGCACGTCCAGAAGAGAGGAGCAAGGGGGACCAGAGTGGTCTGTCTTGTGGTGACTAAGCCCTTCCCTAGAGAACGAATCCAGTCTCATGCGAAAGACATCAGCCCCTCTGTAAGGTCCCACTTCCCAACACCACTGCCAGTGATAGCCAAGCTTCACATGAGTTTTGGTGCAGCTGAACCCTAACAGGGTTTAGAGGGGTGACCACGGGACAGATCTTCAGGGGTCTAGGGCAGTGGCTGAGACAATTAATGTTTCATCCTATGGATCACGGTTTACTAAGACCACCATATCTAAGTCCCACCTCTTATTTCCCTTATCTGTTTTCCTTACATGGACCCACATTTTGAATTCATTTCCAAAGAAAGCTTTCACAAAGCTATTATAAAAGAGTACCTGGCATCACTTTTTCAAATAGAAGGTAATCACAAAAATAAACGCAAGGAGAACAAGCCAGCACCCTAAACTTCTAGGCTTCTGTGGAAGATTCTGAGCTCAAGGCCTTTTCTGTTTATTAAAAAGGAAGAGAAGCAAGTGACAGGGAAGTGTCAAAGCCATAGTAATGTGAACCTGAAACTTTAAAGCAGTCAGAAGGTTTGGGAGAGAAACAAAAGGAGCATCCTGTTACAGGTTTTGTTGGCTTTCTGTGACTGTAATAAAATACCTGAGATAATCACCGAATAAGAGAAAAGGTTTATTTTAACTCACAGTGCCATGGTTATTTGGCCCTGTTGCTTTGGCCCTGTGGTGGCCCAGAACATCACCTTGGGAGTCCAGGACAGAAGAGGCCTGTTCAATTCATGGCAGACAGGAAGCAAAGAGAGACCGGAAGTGGCTGGGCTCCCATATTCCCTTCACAGGCACACTTCCAATGTCCTAATTCAATTCCACCTCCTAAATATTCCACAGACTGGGGACCAACACTTCAACACAAGGGCCTTTGGGGGACATTAAGATCCAAAGCACAGGAAATTTCAATGTGTGTGAGTGCTGGTTTCCCCCACATTTTGCATTGGCTCAATTATCTGCAGGGGCCTGGGCCTTTCCGTTTGGAAACTGTTGTGGGCACTGATGAGCCCACAGAGATGCTAAGCAAGGAAGTAACATGACCCTGCATCGTTCATTTTGGGGAGATCAACACTGACCATATGGAGGCTGGATTAGGGTTGATCTGCCAGCCAGACTGCAGTGGGGTGTTGAGAAAATTCCAGGCCCAGAGCACCCATGAGGCCTGGGGTAGGCTGGGGAGCTACTGAGAAGGAGAGTCCAGAGTGCTCCCTGTGACACGGGGGGATAAAGGTTGAGCTTCAGGCCTGAGGGTGCTTCCAGATGAGAGGAGAGTTTATGTGGTACTGTGGCAGGACTTTTTAAAATTACAAAGGCAAAACTGTGTCTTGAAGCAGCTTAAGCAATACAAAAGTTAGGGAGAGAGATGTTAGTTTGTGGATTTGGATCTCTCTCTCTCTCTCCCTATCCCTCTTTCTCTCTCTCTTTCTCTCACATACCTCTATCCCTCTTTCCCTATCTCTCTCTCTCCCTCTTCTCATTTCTCCTGGGTCACCTTTTCTCTCCCACTGACCTGTGGTTCCAGAGTCCAAGATTCCGACAAGCTTACAGCCAAAGAGCTTTTCTCTCCCAGGAAAAGTACCAAGGCTGAATTTCAGTGGCCAGCTTTTGTCACGTGTCCTTTGTTGGATCAATCCTGGTGGCCTGTTGGGTAGGAGGTGCTGATTGGTCAGAACTGGGCCATGTGACCACTCCTGGTTACAGGTTATATACGGTTGGCGGTCTCTCAAAGGAAACTCACAGAGAGGAGCTTGACCCAAAGAGGATGAAGTCATGACACTGGGCAGGGAGGACAGGGAATGCACCCCCAGCCTGATATGCCTAAGGACACGTGAGAAGATGAGAGCAGGGACAGAGAATGTGTTTTCATACATTATCTTGGTTCTCCATGAGCCCAGCCCAAACCTTTGCACACAAGTAGCACCTGATACATTGTCAGAGCTGTGGCTGGAGCCACATCTGCCAGTGGTAGAAAATAAATGCCTTCTGTACAGTCCTGAAGGAATTAGCCCTGTTCATTCCTCTGATGTGCCTTATATCCTACCACCTATGGGCTCTTTTCACCTGGAGAACGTTTGCAGACATCTGCTCTGTGTCCCGCTCTGCCGGGACCACTGAGGGATACAGAGGTGTGCAGGGACTTGTCCTCATGGAGAAGAGACCGATTCCATGATCCTGGGTTGGGTGCTACCCTTGCCACTTCCTCTGTAGGATTTTAGGAAGGCTGGCTAACTGAAGGCTTCAGAAAATGGGTTCATGGGGTTCTCACCCCATAGGTTTGACTTGAAGGTTCCCAAAGTAAGAAGTCCCTTTGAGAATTGGTGTCTGTTGCTACTATTCATCCTGGGGAGATCCTTCTGCTAGACTTGAGGAGTAAAGTTACTGGGGAGGGGATATTCAACCCCAAAGAGATTAAATAAATCCATGCTCATTCAAACAGAGGAGCATTTCTTGGCCACAGGAGGCCTAAGTCCCGCCCTGTGTGTGAGTGGTGAAGTCTCCGGCTTAGACTTTCAGGTTGCTAAGGTCTCTAAAAGAAGATTCTGTATTTCAAGTGGATCATTCGAGTCTCTGCCTGTAGATTGCCCATGATCAGGACAGGTTGCGAGGGAGGGAGGAGCTGGGAAGATGTGAGAGAATTCCCAGGGAGGCGTAGGCTGAGTGACAGGCACTTAGGCAGGCAGTGGCTCTGGGATCCAGAGTCTGAGGGTCAGGCAGGAGACCCCTGCTGCAGGGACAAGGGTCTGCGGGCTTTGGTGCCTGTGTGAGTCAGAGAGTAGGGAGGGCTAGGAAGGAGGAACGCATCTATCCACGCAGACCTGGGAAGTCCAAGTGGAAGTGCTGACCAGAGCTGTCGCAGGAGTCACTGGGTGT